GGGTGGGATTGGGAGGAGACGAGATAGTGGATTACAATGAAGATACAAAGTGGATAAATTGTGATAAATAATAATAATTAATTTTAAAAAAGAAAAAAATGAAAGAAACTGGCAAGGAAAAAAAGGTGCCTTCTGTATACGTGACTTGTGAAAACAAATCTGCATGCAGAGTTGGGAGAGAGGCAGCTTTTGCTGACGGTAGCATTGAATCAGTCTCTCCAGCTGAAGGAAGGTCCCACTGCCAGCTGGTATTAATACCAGAGCAAACAGGGTATATCATGTTGAGTTTAATATGTGCCAGTGGTTGATTGATTTATCCTCAACCTGCCCAGCTTCATTCTGGGGCCTCTTGGTTCATTCATCTCATGCTTCCTAGAAATAGGGGGCAAAGCTCCTGTTTGGGCACTTGGCTAAGAATTACACATGTTTTTCTCAGTCTCCTTTTCCTGGAACACATTCCCTCATAGGAATGGTGTTTGACAGTGGTTCACATGTCCTTTGGCTTTTTACCACAGCTCTTACTAGAACTCTGATGAACGTGCTCTTCAAGTTCTCGATTTATGACAATGCAACCTCATGAGTGTCTGTAAAGAGCCGTTGAACAACTAACACAGGTAACATCCCTGGGGTTCTCACTCATAGGCCAGTTAATGAGACTCAGGTGTCTTAAGAAAGAAGGAAAGAAGTCGAGTAGAGTCAAAGAAGTCTGTGCCTTCACGCTTGGATCAAATCACCTTTCATAACTTATGGCATTAGTTTAAGCACCAGTATGAATGATGCCTCCTCTCTTTGTCTGAGGAAATCTATAACTCTTTTCCACTTGGTTGCTCCAAGGTGCTAAACTTGCATGTCTGAAAATTAAGAAGGGTATTAGCAATATTATTGCTTCTCTGCTCCTCCAATCTCCATTCCTCCTTCCCCGCCAGCTTTACTAACCATGGTCTATCTTCCTTTGAAGACGTCACGTCTGTTGCACAATTATTCTATGCATTTGTATGCATAAATCACAGCTCTTTGGTGTTTGTTCAGTTTGGTCATTCCCAACCTGTAAATACATGGTGCTGATGGAGCAAAACCGTATAAAACAATCATTTGTGAATCCATTTTAGTGTCTGTTTTTTTTTTTAAGGTAGGTATTTTTTTT